ACTTTCAGTCAATGTAGCAGCACTCCGTTGCAAGTCAGGCTCTTTTTCAGTCAATGTAACAGTAGTCCGTGCATGTTTTACAGTTAAAGAATAAAAATAAAAACATTTAGAATGTTTTTATTTTTAAAAAATAAAATAAAAACATTCAGAATGTTTTTAAAAACATTCTAGTCTTTTAATTTTTGTTTTTGTGGTTTAATTACTTCTCGCAATTAAATTAATGCGTTTTGACATAATCTAACCTTAATTTTGTGAGCTTTAATACCACCAGGGGTGTGGAGTCGTAAAAAAAAAGTAACGACTCCGACTCCAGTTGTTGAAATTTTTTGAGTACAACTCCGACACCATTTGTTGAAATTTTTTGAGCACGACTCCACAGCCCTGAATACCACAAACAAGCAAAGAGGCATTTTTTACCACAAACACATTTTCTGAGCCGTAAATTATAGGTGTATATATATATATATATATATATATATATATATATATATATATATATATATATATATATATATATATATATATATATATATAGAGAGAGAGAGAGAGAGAGAGAGAGAGAGAGAGTTTTTCCCATAAACTGTAGTTTTAAAAAGTGCGTTAATACACCAGACCAGAAATAGTTTAAAAACTTAAAAAATATTTTTTTTAAATGATAGACTGCTTGCCCAAACCAAACCCTCAGTTGAAGTAGCAGCACTCCCTTGTGAGTCAAGCTATTTGTCACTCGATGTAGCAACACTCCCTTGCGAGTCAGGCTATAAGATAGTCGATGTAGCAACACTCCGTTGCGAGTCAGGCTATAAGATAGTGGATGTAGCAACAATCAAAAGTCTCTTTCGACTACAAGATAAGAATATATATATATATATATATATATATATATATACACACACACACAAACATGAATAATTTTATTCTATAAACTTCCAACTTATTTTTGGTTGCTTGCAGCCTTGTTGAGTGAATCAGAATTATGGAGTTGGGTTATTATGGTAGTGGTGTTGTGGTGTTATGCTGATTTTTATTTACAAGTGACTTTCTTGACAATATAATAATAATATATTCTAGAAAGAATCCAAAAAATAATTACATTTTGAATTTTCAGGTTTAAGAGTTTAAAAAGTCAGGGATATTTTTAGTAATAGAAATAGAAATTATCAAATTCATTTTTAAAGTAACATTTATTCATTTCCATAGATTTTCATACTTTTCAGCATTATTGAGTCATGACCAATCACTAATCAATGGCAAATAAAATTTAAACTGTCCTTTTTTCAAAAAAAAAAAAAAATTATTTTAAAATACAAATAACTATAAAAAAATTGTAAAGAAAAAAGTTTTTCTTTTTAAATAGGAAGGTGGGAGAGGGGGGGGGGGGAGGAGGGTAAAGTGTCACATAATAAAATACAAAAAATCCAAAATTTATGTTAAAGTGACTAATTCAATATCTAATTTATGTTTATGTTTTGTTTTTAAGAAAATCCAAGATCTCAATCAACCAGTGATCCGCCACGAATTCGTTCAGCAAACTCCATGCCTCATATGGTTCATGAAATTGAGAATTCAAAAAATGAAAAACTGGATGTAGCAGCAGCAAGCAAACAAAGGACCTCTCTACGTAGGTTTAATTTTAATTGTTTAAAGTTTTATAAGAATTGTCTTTTTTTAAGGTTTGTCTTTTTTTAGATTTTTCAGGTTGTTAGTTTAATAGTAACTGTATCCACATCAAATTCACCGAATCAAATCTTCAACACATCAAATGACCATTCACCAATTCAAATCACCCTTCAACACATAAAATCATTCTACACCACATCAACCTACCCTTCACCACAACAAATCACACTTCACCATAACAAATCACCCTTCACCTTATCAAATCACCTGAATTTTTAGAAAATTTCAATCATAATTCTTTATATTGTTATATAATTATTGCAATTTTATTATTGACCTGTTTTCCAAAATGATCCATTTTTTATGACGTTTCAAAAATGTTTTCCTTAATTAAATGAGAAGTAATTTTGGCAAAAATATAAAATCAAAAAATTTATAATGCTTTTTTGATGCGCGAATTAACTGTAGCACACTCTATTTTTTATCTAAAGGCCTTAAACTGTATGACCTTATTTAGCTATCAAGTTACCTATTTGTTTGGAACCAAAATTATGATTTTCTCTTAAAAACAAAATAAAGTTTTATACATATATACAGACAAGCTTTTTACACTTCGATTATTAAATTTAAATTTTAAGTCATTTGACTTTTTCTTTTACAGTTATTTTAAGAAATCTTGTTCGGGTGAACAAAGTAACAACACAGAAGATCAACAAATATCCTTAAGATTTTAACATATCTCCTCCTCTAAAATCACATTAAAAATCTCCAAAACGCTCAGAAGGTAAACAAAGGGTTCGATGCGCAAATGAAACAGCAGATCTTCTCTCAAAAAAAATGTGAAAATGAAAAAATGTGTGAGTGAAATAAGTAGCAATTTTTTTAAAAAGCAAAATATTTTTCTACTTCTCACACTTGCCTCCTAAGTTGGAGTTGCAAAGTAGTTTTGCAACTCCAACAGAATACCATGCAAAGATGGCTAAACTGCTTTTTAATTAAAAAAAAAATTATTTGTATAAATCCATCATATAAAGGTAAAGTTTTATCTTTTGTTAAATTGTTCTATGATGTAAGTGCTTTTTGTCAAACTATGTCTAGAATGTCACATGTCTGGAATACCTGTAAAAAAAAATTATATAAGCATTCGAAAGAACATCAATAAACTGAAAAGCTACTTTTTTGCAGTTCAAAGGAACTATATGTGTTTTACAAAGAAATCCAGAAGTTCAAATATGCTACTCTTTTTTTTTTTTTCGACTAAAGGGATACATTTTGCCATGTGCAGGTGGTACACATTCTGTGTTTGTATTTGTCCTTATCACAAAAATGCCAAAATTGCTAGGGGATGCCTTAAATATTGGTGATGCATATTTACTTTCAAATATAATTGCTCAGTGGAAAACAAAGAATGCATGCTTGCACAGTGTGATGGTTGTCCTGCTAAAGGTAAAAAATAAACCACTTACCCAGTATTTGTGTTAAGGTTTTAAAGAATATAAAGATAATTTTGAGAATGGTAAACTACAGATTGTGCAACACTATTGAGTTTGATCTGAGATATTTTGACTTTCAAATGTTTAGTTTACTGCTTTGTTATTTACTTGTTTGTACATTCACTTTTAATCATCTTAATCAACTAAAAACAGTCTTAATCACAGTTTTAATCAATTAAATTTCAAATTTGGATAAATCAAACACTATTATTAGTGACTGCAGAAAATTATGTTTTCTGCAGTCAGTCACGAAATATAGAGGTATTACTGATACTCCCAACAATGTTTTTTTACATTCATTAGAGATATTCTATAAAGACAAGTATAGTATACAGAAATATATTCAGACGACATTTTTTTTGTAAAAAGGTTTCTAAATTTCTTAATTTGTCCATAATATATTTACTAATGGTTATGCAGGGTAGTACAAAAAAAATAAACAAAAATCTATGTCAAATTAAGAATGAGTTTGCCCTTAAAGATGAATGAAACCTTTTTGACAAGTTCCGCAGAAAGTCACTAAGTGACAGGATTGGCGGCAGTGTAAAAAATTTGACAGTGCAAGAAAGTTTGAAAAAACAATATTGAAATAAAATACTCACATCAGAAGCCATGTATAAATTTTGTATTAAGAAAATTAAAATGCTTTATATAAATGGATCAGACTTATAGTTGCAACATGAAAAACAACAAGATAGGTACAATGGTTTTATCTGGTACTCATAGGTTTTATTAGTTTATAGTTCTTGGGGATAAAAGGGTTAGGGCAAAGAGGTGTAGTACAAAAAATTTTAATTAGCTTATTTAAAATTAAAAGGAAACAAGATGTATTTGAACCTAATGCTGTCACTTTATGATGTAGTGGTAGTCTATAATGATAAGTGGTGGATCGACATTATAACAAAAATTAACTTGGAAATAGTTGGTGCTGAAGTTAGGTTCCTCCACCAATGAGCTCCATATGCATATTTTAACTGGCCTCAAAGAGACTGCTTTTTTATTTCCAACATTAATATATTAAAAAATTTATCTGTTTTGCAAGCTCAGTCTAATTCCGGTTTTAAATGTTTGAAAAAGTTTAAATAAAAGAATCACAAACAAATAGGCAATAATATTGTGAAATATCACAACTAAAGTCAAAACAAATATTATCTTCAATACCTTGAAAAATCTTGTATTATTATCAATCAAACATACTTTAAATAGTTTTTTGAATTAAAATTATCTTATTTTTATTGTATTTAGAAATATTTTTAGTAATATATCTTTATATATTTCTTGAGATATTGGAACCCAAAATTGAGATTTAAAAAGTTTTTTTATAATTTTTTAAAATTTCCCAACCATATTATAGGGTTCTAAGTTCTTTTTTTTGAAATTGCATTAAAAAAGACATATATATTTTATATTTATATTTTCGCTATTGTTATTTTATATTTTATTATAGAAAACTATTTTCAAATGTCATGAAAACTGCGTCATTTTGGGAAACTATTAAAGTTGCATCTCTTGAAATGTTTTTTTTTCTTTATTGTCGTAAAAGTGTTTTTCTATTTTGAAAATATTATTGCGGAAGTTGTTCTAATGATCTGGCATTTCTGTTTCTCTAATATGCAAATACTGTTGCAGAGGCTGATCTGGGATTTCTCCCTGGCTATAGATAAAAAATACTATTACCAGATGACGCATAATATTGTAGTTATCAGTGGCGATAATATATAATATATGGTTTTAGTTTTTTTAACAAAAAAAAAATAAAGAATTTTATGTCATAAATTTAAAAGATATTTTGTTCAAGTAAAACGATAATTGCGGTTCGAATTTTAAAAAAATTTTAGAAGTTATTTTTTTCTCCACCAAAGAACAAAACTGCAACTTAACCCTTTAACAGTCCCGTGTATTTTTTAAAATACAGTCGCTTTAAGTCCAGCTTTTTTTTTTTAAAGTGGTCGCTAAATGTCCCGTGTTTTTTAAATCATCGTGTTTGTTTACAAAAAAAATAAAAAAAAGTTTTTTTTACTGTTTTTAACCTTATTAAACTCTACAAAATGTCACTATTCAAGTTTAAGAATATATAAATTATTCTACATAAACAAAAAATTGTAAAAATGTATTCACTAATATTCACTTTTTGTATGAGAATTGGAAAAGCATGGAGCTGCACATAGTCTTATATTTTTTTTTTTTTTTTTTTTTTTTTTTTTTTTTTTTTTTTTTTAACATCTTCACTTCCAACAAGGCTGCAAGCAACCACTATAAGAGTATAAGAGTTGGAAGTTACTGGAAGAGAAAAGACTAAATCTGTAGAGCAAGATAACAATTGACTGATGACTTAAAAGATTGCAAATTATATGAATCAGGAAAGCAAGATGAAGGAAGCGAATTCCAAAGAACTGATGTTCGAGGAAAAAAACTAGAAGAATAAGAGTTTTTGAAGCACTTAGGAACAGTCACAGAAAAAGGATGAGACTTAATTGAATGGCGAGTAACACGAGAATGAATTTTAGTAGATGGCACAAGGGACGCTAGCTCTTTAGAGCAGTGCCCATTATAGTATTTGTAGAAAAGAGAAAGAGAAGCAACATTACGACGATGTGACAAAGGTTGGAGATTGGCTGCCAGAGCAGGTCCAACTATGTTTACAATTCGTTTTTGCACCTTGTCTAAAAGAGAAAGAGCATCATTAGAAGATCCGCCCCAGATGTGGCAACAGTATTCCATACAGGGACGGATTTGAGATTTATAGAGATAGAGAATAGAATCTGGAGTAAGAAAGTGTCGAGCTCGATAAAGAGATGCAACCTTAGCAGATGCTAATTTTGCAATGGATTTGATATACGGTTTAAAAGAAAGATCAGAAGTAAGAGTTAATCCTAGAAGATGAATGGTAGATGACTCATCTAGTACATTACCATTCATAAATATAGGAAGATCTAAATTATTACGATAACGATTGGCCGAATAAAATTGAGTTTTATCTGAATTAAAGTTCACCAGCCACTGTGAGCCCCATGCTGTAGCAGAAGTGAGATCCTTTTCAAGCTCAGATACCCCCTCCAAGCAATCAGAGAGTGTAGGCTTCTTATCATGACAAGAGTAAATGGTAGTGTCGTCAGCGAATAATGCCACCTTAGATGTGAGAATATCTGGAAGATCGTTAATGTAAATTAAAAAGAGTATAGGGCCAAGGATTGAACCTTGAGGAACCCCTGAAGTTACAGGATGTGAAGAAGAGTGTTGTCCATCGAGGACAACTTTTATACTACGATTGGAAAGAAAGGACTCAATAATCTTAAAGACGTTACCAGCTACACCATAAGAAGAAAGCTTATGGAGAAGACCAGCATGCCAAACTTTATCAAAAGCTTTAGAAATGTCAAGTGCGATAGCCTTAACCTCTCCACCTCTATCTAATGCACGGTAAAACCTATCGGTTATTACTGTTAGCACATCAGCTGTAGAACGAGAAGACCGAAATCCATATTGATGGTCAGAAAGTAAGTTATTTGATTCAAGATGAGAGATTAAGTGTTTGTTGATTAAAGATTCAAAAACCTTGCTTATGACAGAAAGAAGACTAATGGGACAGCAGTTAGATGAATCAGTCTTATATTATATTATAAACATTTATTTTTTCAACCTTTTTGATTTATGTGTTTGTAACATACCGCACACCTTCTTTGAGCATTAATCTTTTATTAACAATAATTATTCATCAAATATATCTTTTCATGATCGATTCATCAAATGTATAATTTTTTAGTGAGTTTTATCTTTTAGTGAGTAAGTATTTTATTTTGGTAATTATTTTTGCGCTGAAAGAAATTCCTTATTTGTAAATTTAAGTAAACACGTGTAAAAGTAACTTATTGAAACAAAAGCTTTTTAATTATGTAGTAATAAATTTTGTGACAAGTAGATGTATAATTACTGATAAAGAAGAAAATATAAACAGATGCATGAAACCGTAATACTATGGCATGGACATTTAGGAACCACTTTTAGTTTGCGTAATATTACGGCATGGACATTTAGAAACCACTTTTTATTTGCGTAATATTACGGCATGGACTGTTAACGGGTTAATGTTTTTTTTCATTGCGCGATTCGTTTTATAATAAAAATCGCATATACTGTATTTTATAAAATTTTTATAAAAGTATTGTAATAGTTATTTTTAATGATATTTAATTTTCAAAATTAATATAATTATATTAAATAATATAGAATAAAAATATTTAATATAGATTAAAAATATTTAAATCTTACTTCATTTGTAAATTTAATTGTAATTGACAGATTTTACTTCCACTGTAAGTTCATTATATATTACAAGGTTATGCGAAAATATAAATTAAAATAAAAAATATAAATTAAATTTGAGCAGTGGCGCATTGGTTAAAGTTCTGACTTTAACCAATTTTTTGACTTTCAACTTTCAACCAATTTTTTGACTTTCAACTTTCTTTAACCAATTTTTTGACTTTCAACTTTCAACCAATTTTCCGACTTTCAACCCAGAGGTTGACGCCAGTTCTAACCAACAAGCAACATAGGTACAGAAAAAGGCGTGAACTTTTTGTTAAGTACTCTTCGGTATAAAACTTTTATAACATTTGGGAGCACCTAAATAACTACAAAAAAATTATGCAGAAATTTAAACAAATTTTTGCGGAAATATAAATTATATTATGCGGAAATAAAAAATTTTTTAGTATATTTTTTTTCATACAAAAATATACATTTTTTATTGTAAATATAAATATTTCCATACAATATTTGCGGTTAAGCCATATTTTATTTATTATTTAGTTTCTTATTTAAATTTATATTTCAACATTTCCGTATTTCCAACAACATTTCGCTTATTTACTTATGTTTGCTAGATGCTGAAAGAGTTTTTGACAGTTGCAACTGGAAGCTTTTCTTTGATAAACTTTAATAAAAACTCCAAATACTTACTAAACTTTAATACTTACTAAATTTCCAAATACACTAAATTTTAAAATTATAATTATAAATTAAAAATTATAATTATAAATTAAAAATTATATTATAAATTTTAAAATATTTATAAAAATAACTAGACATAACTTTTAAAAAATCTTTATATGTAATATGCCAATAAAATGGGTTTTTCAGCAAGACAACGATCCGAAACACACTGCAAAAGTAGTCAAGCGGTAGTTTTCAAGACAACCACCTATCTGTGATTTGATTGGCCGCCTCAATCTCCGGATCTCAACCCTATCGAGAACCTGTGGGAGATCTTTAACCGCAGAATTTTATCGTAAAGGTGTTTGTAATAAGAATCAACTGTTTAAACAAATCCAAAAGGCTTGGGCAGCAATTCTACAAAGTTTCATTGATCACCTGATCGAATCTATGCCTCGAAGATGCAAGGCTGTGATCGACAACAAAGGATTCGCCACAAAATATTGATAGCGAAATACAGCTTGGTCAACATTTTGTGGAGTTGCACTTGTTTTGTCCAGAAGGAAATCAACTTTTTTTAATACTTTTGATTAATTTATTAATTATCGTGTACAAATAATGAACTTTGTGATGAATAAAACTTGAAGAACGTTGTCTCGAAACAGTTACATAGTTATTTCTCTAAATTGAAAATATGCAGCACTTTAATATAAAGAAACTAAATTAGCATTATTTGGTTGCACTTGTTTTGTCCGATACTATATATATATATACATATACATATACATATACATATACATATACATATACATATACATATACATATACATATACTATATATATATATATATATATATATATATATATATATATATATATATATATATATATATATATATATATATATATATATATATATATATAGTATATATAATTATATATGTATATATATAATATATATATATAATTATATATGTATATATATATATATATATATATAATATATATATATAATTATATATGTATATAATATATATATATAATTATATATGTATATGTATATATATGTATATATATATATATATATATATATATATATATATATATATATATATATATATATATATATATATATATACATACATGTATATATGTATAATTAAAAATATTATAAATTACACAAGACTAACTGACACTGGATCTTAAACATATAAAAAAAACTCCCTAATAGGAATAAATTGGTGTAATATTTATTTTTCGCTCTGGGCGCGAAATTCCTCGTTACGCCACTGGTAGTTATCCATAAATAGGTATTTTTACACATGAATGCATATTTACAATACAGTGTGCCTATTATTCTTAATTAAAAACTATTATTTCAAATCAATCGTTTTTAACGCATATCAATCGTTTTTAATGCACGTCAATCGTTTTTCAATTTTGACTTTTTAATTTTTTTGTTTTTCAATTTTAGCAGTTATTTAATTTTATTGTTAATCTTTTTCGTTTTAGAGCAATCTTTTGATGATTCTTTTGATGACGAAGAATTGGATGCAAATTTTAATATGCCTCCTCCACCTCCTCCTCCGATATTTTCGGAAAGTGAACTTGCAGTATTAAATTAAATAGTAGAGATATCAAATAGGCTGTGATGCATTAACCACAAACGACACTAATAGTAGATAAAAAGAATAGACAATAGAAGATGAATTTTTTTTTATTCAACTGCTGTTTATTTAAATCATATCCTAACTCTTAACAATTCTATTTTATTATTATTAGAAATGATTAAATATTCTGTAATATTATTAGTAAAAATTTAATATGCATATTTTTTACAATCTTACAGAAACTTTACAGCCTAATAATATTAATAATATATAGATCTTTGTTCGTTTATATATATATATATATATATATATATATATATATATATATATATATATATATATATATAATATATATATATATATATATATATATATATATATATATATATATATATTGAATTTTTAAATTAAAAGGTATTATAAGCGTATTTTTATGAATTTCTTTGATGTTCTTTAATGCTCTTGTAAATAAATTTTATGACAAGTAATTAACACTAATGATATTAGTTTCGTTGAATTTCCTTTATTATTTTTCCTTTGTTATTTTTAGTTGGTTTGCTCAAAAGTTTTATTAATTTTCGAACTTGAAGAAGTTATTTTTATATAGAAATTTGACTGGGCAGTATTTTTAGGGTTTGATAAAATTTTTATTTTTTACAGATCAATTTTTATAGGCTTCTTGTTTTTTTGTTTTGTTTGTTTTTTGTTTGTTTTTTTGTAATTATTAATACCGTTATGTTTTTAAAATGAAATTTTTCAAAGTTTTACGATTTTACAATCATTTAAAAATTTTTTCAAACATTTTCCTTTTTTTTATTTTGAAATTCTTTGCATAAATTTTATTGGACATTTTGAAATGGTTTCATTAGTATTTGTAATTTTTTGTAAAAACTAAATCTCAAAGATGAATGTTTATTTTTTTATCATAAAATTCTAGCATGCTTAGCCAACTTTAAAGTTACAATAATATAATTTTTAGGCAACATTTCCAGGTTCCTCGAGGTATACTTAAAACTTTATCGTTTTTTTTTTCTTTGTTTTTTTCAAATTTGATGTAAACCACAATGTTAATAATAAAAAGAAAACTATTTCGAAGATGTTTTTATGGCTGGCGCACAGTGAAGTGAAGTGAACGAAAAGTGGGCAAAACTCATATTTTGTAAAGTAATGAACATTTTTATCAAATAATTGTCCTACTTTTTTCAATTTTTAGTCTAAAAATCATTACAAAAATATTAGCTTAATGAATAAAATATTTACCTCATTTTTTTATGCATTAATATGTAAACCTGCTTATTTTTATATACTGATGAGTAAATTTTTACAAGAAAAAATTAAAATTTAATAAGATAACATTTATTGATTAAAAAAGCAAGTATTTATCTCTTCTGAGGAGGTCCTGTACATCAGGTTCAAAGTTAGGACCAGCAAATGTCTTGGGGTTTTTGAAAGCAATCGAAAAGATCGTAGGATTGCTCCTTATTAGTAGATAATGGAATTGGTTCCATATCACATTAATTCTAGATATTTGCATGTGTGATTGAGTCTTGCATTTCTTATGGTCTTATTTTGTGCTTCCTGAGCTTTCTCAGAATAGGCTCTAATATCCAAATTTTTAGCTATTAAAAATCCATGCTCCAAAATCTTGTGTAATGTAGGTGGCATAATGTACCAAAGATAGGTTTCCACTATCAGCTCTGAAGTTTCATAGCAGTACGCTTCAAAATCATCCAAGTTCAGGTAGAATCCACAACAAAACGGAATTCTATATGTTTCTTACAATGATGTCCAAACTAACTACTGTTGTTTCAGAGAAAAATTCTACTGCGAGAAATGCCCTCCTTGCAGTATTTCCTGTATTAGCATTTTAAAATCTCTGCTTAGTAGTATCAAATCCATGCTTAGTATAAACTAATCTTATGTATCAGCTACTAAGTTTAACTCCTCTCTGAACTTTCTTTAGATTTCTTTTTTTTCGAGATTTTACAGATAATTTCTCAGCAAATATTCTAAAGCGGAATTTCAGTGGACCTATATAGGTATTTTTAGTTACTTCGTGGACCGTTAGTGGCAACCGCCAAAAGTGGCTAGCCAATAAATAGGCACTATTAACATGTCGTAAAGACATCAGCTTGCCAATTGCAGCGGCGCCACTTATGGTCCACAAAGTAACCGATGAGCAAAACGTCAATGAACCGCTAAAAAATGTCTATATAGGTCCGCTACAAATCCACTACAACAGTGTTTGCTCGTTTATCTGGAGACCGGGACTGGCGTCTTTTAGTATCTATTTTATATTCCAAGAGTATGATGAATTTTCAAAAACAGTATTTATTGGAAAATTTATATTTTCACCTAATATTTTAATGACTCACAATGCGTAACAAAACTTTGAGAAGAAATATTAAATTAACTTTTATTTGAACTTTCTTTAATAAAATTTCAAGTCCTTTTTTAGGCTGAAAAAAATTTATTCCATGACTTTTGAACTTTTTTAGTAATATTAAACAACGTCTAATTGACATGGGACAATGTAGTTTTGCATAATTTTGAAAAAATCTTTTTTTTTTAACTATGCCAAGCTTGCAAGAACAAATAATAATAAAGCAAATTGTAATCCATTCACTAAAATAAATTACAGTTGTTTAAATTTAATGTAAAAGTTACAAGAAAAAAAGGAGATCGATACTAGGGGTGGCAATCCCGGGATCCCGAAATCCCGGGATTTCGTACAAATTGTTTATCCCAAAATCCCGGGATTAGTCTCCAAAATTTCCCGGGAATTTCTCCTTAAATACATTTACATTTAAAATGAAGTGAAAATTATTTAAACCCTATTGTTTACACTGTTTATCATTAGGTAACACTTTTTGAAATTTTCAATTTTTTCAGCGAAATCCGCCTGAAGGATGTATCCAAAACAAGCCTTGACACTAAATTGAAGCTTTTGAATGATTCAATTATGCACACAATATTGGGAACCATGTTTGTCTTAGCAAATTGCTGCAGCATATACACATTTTTAAGAAGCTTCCTGCATTCATTTCCCTCAAACTGGCCTCCGTGATACGGGCTCAGTTGAATGTGGAGGGCAGCTGGTCATTTAACAGCTTCTATCTAAGCAGTTTTAAGGATCTTGAAAAGATGGTTGACAACTCCTAAGAGGAGATGCATCTTGACTACAGTATCTTTACCAGTCCTTTGAGTGAGAGGTTGTTGTTGGTGCGGTGAGCTGGTTTCATTCTTTAACGAAGTATCAACAATGCTTATGCAAAACTTGAGAAAACCTTTGCCACCATTAATTCCGAGCTTAACAAAATAGCCACCAAAAATTTTGCGGGACTGAACAACATGATTCACAAGACTTGATAAATCATTGCAGTGAGCAACAGCATGAACTGTACAAGAATCTGTTTTTCCTCTGTGATTTTTAAGTCGCTTCAGGTAAAGAAACTGCTCAATTGTTGACCTAGTTTTAGAAAATTCATGTAGAAATTTCGCTCTACCATCTTGCTGCTTGATGTTTTGTTTACAGTTCTAACAAGTTTTTTTAATCCGTTGTTTGACAGGCCTGTATTTATTTGCACATTTACAAGAGCTACAGTGGTCAATTTCGGAGCACTTGATGGTGTCTGTGCACTACTTTGACCTAAAACCAAAACATACATATTTTATAGTTACAATAAACTTTGTTTAGTAAGTTTGTGTAAAACTTTCAAATTATTCATTTTTAAAGAAATTAGAAACTTGTCAAAAATATACTTCTTGAAATCTATCCCTACGCCCACCCCTCGGGACCAATATTATAACTTAACCTTAAACCAAAACAAATAGAAAGCATTACAATAAGAAAAGTGACATCTTATTAATATTTTTATAACAAGTAATATTTATAAAACTAATAAAAATACATTGTTTTTATATTCTTAATATGTTATCTTTTTCATGAAGGTTTACGAAGTTATTTTGAAATGAAATAAACAAAAATATAAGTCTAAAAATATATATTAACTTTTTTAAATTAAAATAATTTCTGAAATCGGTATACAACCAAAATGAAAATAGATTTTCGGAAATGAAACTATCATCATCACCATCATCACCACCAAAAAACAAATACTTGAACATTCTTTTTAATAATTGCACAAATTTGTAAATAAAAAGCCATACAATTAGGCAGCTTTGCAAGCCTCAACGCTTGCAATATCGATTTTGCAAATCAGTACCTATTTTGAAATTTACAATGCTTGCTTAGATATTTTATATATCATTTATATAAAATATAAATTAAAGGTATTATCATCAGATTATTATAAGGTTTAATAATCTGATACCTTGTATTAGATTATTATAACCTTCTATCAGATTATTATGACCTTGTATTAGATAATTGTAACTGGAATCAGATTATTATAACCTTCTGTCAGATTTTATAACTTGTATCAGATTATTATAACTTGTATAAGATTATTATAACCTTGTATCAGATTATTATAACCTTGTATCAGATTATTATAACTTTTATCAAATTATTATAACTTGTATCAGATTATTATAACCTTGTATCAGTTTATTATAACTTGTATCAGATTATTGAAACCTAGTTTGAATATGAAGCTCAGTAAAAAATTATCCTTATTAATAATATTTAATGAAGTTGCAATACAATTTTAAAAAGAAAATGCAGATCAAAATCCAGATTTTTTATATGCAAAAGATCTGGATTTTGATCTGCATTTTTTATTTATTTATTTATTATCATTTTATTATTTACATTTTATTTATAACTTTTCTTTTAATTTATATATTTTTTGTTTTTTTTTTAAAAAAGTTTTTTTTAAAAAAATTTTCTTTTTAATCAAATACTAAAATAAATTTTTTTTTCACAAATGTTCCTTAGTGTATTAGGTTTATTTTTTGTTAGAGATTTTGAAGATGATTCATTATTTTAGGTTTAAAGACATTTTGAAAATCAAAAATTTCATTTTTTACGAGAAAAAATAGGATATCTCAAGATATATTTTTTAAAATATCTAACTAAAAAGCAAGATATAAAACCAACTATCAATTTCAAATAGAAAAACTATGTGTAAAGAAGAAGAAACATAGTGTTTTATTGAGGATGTTTTTATAGACTTATTTATCATGACTTAGATAATACGAATAATGTGTTAAAATACATATATTCTTCCATAAACAAAAGATATAACTTATATTTTAACATAATAACACATTAAAACATTCACTTTTTGACTAAACATTCATTTTTTGACTAATAATTTTTATTATTGTTATTATTTATCTTTTATTTTGCGAATTAAACAATATTACAATTTTTTATA